GGGTGGTCCAGCGCAAGCAGCTTAGCTGCCAGCTCCGTCTCTTGCGCAAACCTTTCCGTGGCAGCCGTGATGCTTGTAATTCCCCCATGCTGGTAAGCTCCCAAATTCAAGTAAGCCGCTCCGTCCCACACGTCGCCTTCCTTCATTTGTGGCCTTTCAACCTTAGCTTCCTTTGACTCCCACATTGGTGATGCCAACAACTTGTCAACCAGCGCCCTTCGTTCGCCCACCTTCATCGCATGGATCTCCGGGTCACTTAGCTTGGTCTTGGATCTCACACGGCGAGTAGGTTCAATGAGGTCCACCACGTGCTCGGCTTCATCTTCCTCATCGATCTCATCATCTCTCACCGTACGCATATGCAATGTCCGAAGCCACAAACCATCATCCAGGCGAACAACATGTCCTTCTCTCACATCATCGGCTGGGCCCATGTAGACTCCACGCTCCCATCGGGGATCGAAAGGTCCACGGTCCTTTTTCGACTTCACCCATACGACCGATCCGAACTTGAGGTCTGGAATCTTTAGTCCCAGTTGCCTGGCATTGTGCACCTGACAAGCATGCTTCATTGCGCAGGGCCAAAGCTCCTTATCCAGCTCTGTTGCTTGAAGTCGTACTCGAGCTTGAGCCTTGAGCCACTTCACATGACCCTCCGCCACAGCGTTTTGGGTAGGCGTCAAGCCTTCTGTGAACGTCTGGTAGATGTCCCTCTCCCGACACCATTTCTTCACCGGCTTGACTCTGAACTCCCTCGCTCGATCGCTGTGAATACGGGTCAAAGGCAGCCCCATCGTCCTTATCTTCACATACAAGTCCTGAATGCACTCCAGAATCTCCTTGCCTGTGTGACGCTCCAGAGGTACACAGAAACGCAGCATCTGCATCTCCATAGGCTGCTTAAGCCCTTCAACCTTCTTTTTCCACTCTTCTTCCTGGGCGTCCATTTCCCCATCATCGACCGGGTCCAACTCTTCCACCTCGGAATCCTCTTCGTCGGCTAGAAACCCGTCCAGGCCCTCCTCCTCATCCAAAGGCTCATCCTCCGGAACATCTCTGACTTTGGGGTAGAGGTACGTTGCCGCCAAAACAAACTTGTATTTCCTCCCCCTCACTTCATCTCTACCGCGATCCGCAAACGGCCCAGCAATGTCCAGACTCATAGCATAGGCATCCCTGTGGATAACTCGCCTGGCTGGGCGTCCGGTACCTGAGGCTGCCAGGCACACAGAACAGTCACGTCTGTAAGGCCAATGTCCTCGTTCCACATGAGCCTTCCACTCTGCCATTTCAGTCTTTGACATCGCCTTTTTCACCACCACTCGGTTCAAGGCATTGTTCCACTCATGGATAGCGTCCGCCAAGGTGATCCGAAAACCATGCGGCCAAATCGTCTGGTCCACCTCCTGGCCATCTTCCTTTGAGGTCCAACACCTGGAATCCTTCAAGCCATTGATACTAAGTCCCAAATTGCTCAAGCAACATGTAGGCCTCCGCATGACATGTCCGAGGGCTCCTTGCTCAAAGTGGAACTTGACCATGCCCGTCTCCTCAACGAAGCGCCTCATAAACTCTGTGCTCCATGTAGACACGCAAGCATCACGATGGGGTCCCTCTGGCATGTAAAGCTTGGGGTCCTCGGGAAACTCTAAGCAGAAACCCACATGAGGTCCTCCAGGATCTTTGTTCTCGACCGCCGCCTCCGCACATAGCCAAAGCCAGATCATCTTGAACAGCACCTGGTTCTCATTTCTAACCCGGGCTTCATCTTCGACCCCGAGTCCCTCCTTGAGTCCCCATGGTTCATGCATTGACCTCGCTGCCCTGGGCCCCGACTCTCCATTCTGCCTGAAGCGTAGAGGTGAATAGGTCGCAGCCGGCGGGCCACCGAAGACGTGCTTGATCCGTCCCTCTTTGGCCGCCCACAGAAGAACACCATAGATCTTCTCGTTCTTTAGATCCCACCCCTTCTTGCTGTCAATCTCCAGCAAGCCCGGCAGATCTCGAAGAGGATCGTTTCTGACCCCATTGCCCGAAAACAAGTGCACTGTCCACTGTTGCGCCTGCCACAACTGTCGGCGCCTTGAGCGGTTGAGGGGAAAGCTCTTCATCCACTTCCAAGCGTCCTGCTCTGTTGTAGGGATGTCTACAGC